CTGGGATAATGCACATTTCTAAAAACCACAATGCACAAAGGATGACCCAAAGGAATGTCATTGTTAATAATTCTATGAAGCAAAAAACCATTTCTTAGTTTTTAAGAAAGTTCCATTTCATATATTTGTATTAGGAGACATCATTAACTCTTTGATGTTTTGTTTTCCTTTATCCCTCCGTCAAAAGATGAGCAGATTTTTGGTTTTTATCCTCCAACTTCCTTCACTTCTCTGTTTAAATGGGGCCTGGGTGTGTGCATGGCCTGGGGTGTCACCTGGGCGCTGGCTGACACTGTGGTTATTTCCTCCTCCAGGCAGCACAGCTCTCCTCCTCACGCTGTGCATACAGCATTCCTTCCCAGAGCCCAGCAGGTTGTATCTTGACCTCATTCTGGCCATCCTGGCCCTGGAACTGATCTGTTCCCTGACGTGTCTGCTCATCTACACAGGTGAGAACTACAACTAGGCTGTTCTTACAAAGACCCGCTTGAAGCCCCGCTCATTTGAGAACAAGGAAGCTGTTCTCAAAGCTTTTCTATGTAGCTGAGAACCTGTTGAGCGTCCGTATCTCTCATTGCTGACATTCAGACTTCTCTCATTTCAAATCCACAGGAAGATACCAGTGAGCCTCGTTTCTAGTTGTGTCATCCACAAGTTTCTGTCAATTAAAGTGAAGCCTTTCCAGTATAAAACGAAAAATTCCCAAAAGACCACCCATGTTTGATTCCTCAAAGGCAGCTGACATGTAAATCTCCCATTTACAATAAAAAGTAACTAACGACAAATTAAGGACATAAATAATGCATGCAAAATTGCATTAAGGCCAACATTGCTTTGGGATAAATCATTTAAGAACCTTCTGTCTCTTCTCTTTTAAAGCTCTCAGTTGATTGATGACCTTGGTAGGCTTTCTGTCTCACTCTATATGACATTGCCTTGAATGTCTGACAATGAAACACACACAATAGAGCACTTCACTTAACCCTCCTGCATAATACCCCTGAAAAATGTTTGCCAGATATTTAAACCCTGTGCTAGTGCTCATTGAGTTATTTGTAAAAAATATTTTTAGTTCAAGCTGATATGCAGGGAGTTTTTCTGGGTGGGCTAGCAGTATCCAAGCCCCTACTCTACTAAAAGTGTAATCTTGACCACCTCCTTCAAGACAGGAGATGGAAAATTTAGGACACTGAAATATTACCTTGTAAAATAGCTTCTTGTTGTTGTTTTGTTCCTAAAGCTATCTTGTTCTGTGTTAAAGCTAATCATCTTAGTGTAACTTTTACTAGTATATACTTCATTAAAAAATACACACACTCTCACACACATCCTCACTCACTCACTCCCCTTCTCAGGATCCTAATTTGTTCTGGCTCTTCCCCTCCCCTCTCCCCCCCCCGCAAAAAAACACCTTCTTCTCTACTCTTTCGGGTTTCCTCCTCTCTGAACCTCCCCCCACCTGCACATCATTCCTACTTAGTAAGGGGCTGCTTTCCAGGGCTGTCCTAGCCCCTGTGCAAGCTCTGCTTTATGGTCCTTTTTATCCTGTTCTGGAATGTAGATTTATTTGTATTTTTCTCTGGGCTGGTAGCTCTTGTTATAGGGTAATGTCCACAGTGGAGGCTTTGGAGCCCTGCTTCCCAGATTCGAGCCCTGGCTACTTGTCCAGCTTCCTTGGACTGCACTTTACTTGACTGTAGAAAATAGGGAGTAATAAAAGCACCCACCAAAGGGGGAGGTTCTGAGAACTGAATGAGTTCCAGTAAAATAGTTCCCCTGTGCCTTCTGTGCTTTTAGTTCACAAAAAAATAATCCTGGTTATTATTATCAATAATAGCAATGATCACTGTGTTCCCCGTGCTTAGTATAGGCTTGGCACATGATAAACTGTCAAATGTTTGAGTACATAAAAAAAAAAAACAAACAACGAACCTATTGATTCTCTTTGTGAAGCATTTTTATGATATGACCTTTTTTAAAAATAGCCAATTCATGTAATTTGAATAAATGGAAATAGAAGTATTTTTTATAATTAGGTAACCTGACAATAATGACTTTATTATTTTAGTGAAGGTTCGAAAATTTAATAAAGCCAAACCACAGCCTGATATACTTGAAGAAGAAAAAGTCCATGCTTACCCTAGCAATATTACTTCAGAGACTGGATTCAGGTAAGCTTTGGGTGGGGAATAAAAGTTGCAAGAGAAATAATTTCCTCCCTCCCACCCCCCACCCCATCAAAATCTAGAAAGCATTCTACTTGGAGATTATTACTGTGCATTTGTAATAAACCTTTACAATTAGGTTTATGGGTGGTTTTTTGTTGTTGTTGTTGTTGTTAATCCTCACCCAAGGATATTTTTTCATTTATTTTTAGGGAGAGTGGAAGGGAGGGAGGGAGAGGGAGAGGGAGAGAAACATCAATGTGAGAGAGACCCATGGATTGGTGGGCTGAAGCTCTTTCCACTGAGCAATATGGGCCAGAGCTAGAATTAGGTTTGATGCTACTTCCTTTCAGCTGTGGTGAAGCCCAGTCAAATGAAAGAATCTCATTTTGGGATATTGCCCTGGCTTACAATATCTACGAAAAGGTAACAAATGCAATATGCTGTATTTTCACCAGTTTTCAACTGGTTGGGACCCATTTGCAAAGAGACTAATGAGTATTGGTGAATATATGTAACCCATTAATATTTTGATTCTTTGTAGGACTATTTCAAGTTTAGAAGAAATTATTGAAAAGCAAGGAGACATAATAGTATACCTGAAGAGACACAATGCACTGTTGAGTAAGCGGTTGTTGGCTTTCACTTCCTCGGACCTAGGCTCTCATTCAAATCGGATGTGAGAGTTCAAGGTCAAGACAGCAATTGCAGAGTGATCCAGGCTAATACAAGACTGACCACCTGACAAACTGTCATAGAAAATGGCAGCTTTTGCTGAGTGACATTTTACCACTCTTGTAGAGTACCTGAATTTGGTTCTCACCTGTGTGGCTATTTAATATGTAGAGCTTGTGGATTATGTGATGGTGATTTGTCAAGCCTTGATATCTCAATAATGTCTGTTTTACACATTTTGAAATTATTTAACTGCCTGCTTTATCCTAGGAGCAAAGGTAAAGCTTAAACATCTCCTGCGCCAACACTTCTTCCACATGACATGAGAATCCTATTGATAATTTGGCTACTTACAGAGCGAGGCTGGCATGCTAATGTATTTAAAACAGGGAGCTGGTCAAATAAGTTCTTCCCACTCTTAAACTGATGAGGGAAGACATTTCTTGTGTTAATGATTCCTCCAATGGAGCCTTCTCATATAGTTTATATGCTTGTGTAGTATTGGATGGCAGCTTGGCCCTTGTAGCATTTATAAAGAGGTTTCTCACTGTAGGATCAAATTCTCACTAGGTGATTTACTATGAAAACTCCTACAGTTTTCCATTCTCCAGAAATAAGATATGAAGATTACTTGGATCAGTGTTAGACTAACCATTGTTGTCTGTTACCTCTATAGCACCTTCTACTGGCAACACTTTAAACTTTCTCTTTATTTTTGCCCTCTTCAGGAAGTTGCCATGCATTTCAGTATTGACTATACTAGTATATCTTCACTGGATCAATAAGTTCAGTGATAGCAAAGGGGTCTTCTGTGGCTTTGTCTAAAAAGAAAGGACACCTCTTTTAGTCTTGGATCAGACTTAAAAATAAAATGCCCTATTAACTTCTATACTGATATTAAACTTATGTAATTCTCCAGATAAATTGAGGTATTTTGAGCCTGGCCGGCATGGTTCAATGGTTGAGCGTCCACCTGTGAACCAGGAGGTCACGGTTCAGTTCCAGGTCAGGGCACATGCCCAGGTTGTGGGCTCGATCCCAGTGTGGGGGGTGTAGGAGGCAACTGACCAATGATTTTCTCTCTCTCTCCCCTTTTCCCTTCTCTGAAATCAATAAAAATATTTTTAAAAAATAAATTGAATCATTTTAATGAATAAATGGCATTACTTCTGCAGTTTTCGTACTGTGCTTTTTATCAGTTTGCCCTTGGGGCCTTAACATGCTGCCTTAGGAAGACTTTTGGTTGAAAGCTTAACACGAAGGGGAGGGGATATCTGTGATAATGTCTGCTAATTTTTATTTACACTTAATTTTGGGGGGTATTTAGTGGAATAATCAATATTTGGTTTGAAAATACTTAACCAAGACACAAGTATCTGACAGGGGATGTTGTCATGATGTCACACATGAGGGCAAATACCTGTTTCTTTTAAATGTGGCCATTATGGGGGCATTCTAAGAGTTCTATTCAGCTAAAAGTGATGGTGTCACCTGCAGGCCATACCATTGAATCCCCAAAATGACAAGATCCATAAACTAAAAGGCCAAATTGTATTGTGAAAATCCTGGGTGTCTCCAAGTTTTCTGTCCCCCGTACCCACACGCCCCCCCCCACTCTTTTTAAATATATTTTTATTGATTTCAGAGAGAAAGGGAGAGGGAGATAGAAACATCATTGATCGTCTGCCTCCTGCCCGCCCCCTTCTGGGGTTGAGCCTGCAACCCGGGCATGTGCCTTTAACCAGAATTGGACCTGGGAGCCTTCAGTCGGCAGGCCGAAGCTCTGTCCACTGAGCCAAACCAGCTAGGACTTATCCTTCCTTTTTAGTAAGTATGTCTCAAACCATTGCCTTCTCTGAAAATCTGTCTCTGTTCTGAAAGAGTCTGTAAACTTTGCTGCCAGCTGATTTCTTTTTCAAAAGGAAAACACTGATGGTAGATGGATTAATTCTTACTTATTTTTAAATTCCATTTGGATCTAGTCTGTTTCTAAGGTTTATGGGATGAACTTTGGTTTACAGAGAAAACGTTGTAGCTAACATTAGGATGCTCAGGTTCCAATGTGTCAGCTGGGTGACCAGCAACACTCTTTTTAAACACAATAATGAACATTGCAAACTATAAAATAATGAAACTAAACACCAGATCTAGCAAAACAGAAAAACCACAAAAGCAATTTAAATGTTAAGCATGCTATTCAGGAGGCAAATACTGTGCATCTAAAAAAACTACTAAGACAGACCCTGGTTTGTAGCTTACAGAGGACTAGGATTTCTGCCCTTGAAGATCAGTGAAATAAGGCAGGGAGCCCAAAGGTACCATAGGAGTCCAGGTCAGAGAATACCCTGGAGGGGAAGGGGGATTTAGGAACCCCAGGCCAATTCAAGAGTAAAGAAGCGAAGTAAACAGCTACAGAAGATCCCAAGCACTGGGTAGAGCTTGAACCAAGAGCGCAGTGGGACCTGGACAATCCTCAGATCTTGTCCAGTGTTGTTGAAACAAAATGAAACTCTCTTCCTGACTTATGTGTTTAACAGGACCACCATTTCTTCCTTTCACCTTCCATTGAAGGAGGATTAGATTTACTCTCATATTAATATGATACCCACTATTGTATTAATTCACACACACCTTCCATTTAAAAAAAAAATTATTAAACTGGTCCAGTCTCTTAGAAAGTTTTCATTCAGTCTGTTCCTATAGAGATCCTAAGAGGTTTTGAGTCAGGTCCTACATAGAAATAGGCCTAAGAGGTAGATTAAAAGTGTCAGTGAAAGTATAGATGTGCGATTTGTCGGTCATGTTATAAAATGAGATCTCCCCCATCTCATAGTCCAGGAAAATGCTGATGCCTCTGGGCTTCACTTCAGACAAGAGAGGGATGGTGCCAGCTCCCGGGGCATCATAGCTATTCCCCTGCTGCCTAATCCGCCAGCCTCCCCGACAGGCCGACGGGCTCCTCCACCTGGTGGACAGAGAATCTTTGCAAACCCCGATCTCCTATGTGGGCTTGTCTCCCACGTCTACCTCCCAGAAATGCCTGCCAGAATGAAAGTATGGAAACCCCAGGACAACTGTGTTGACTGTAAATCTTTTTGGAAAATCAGGAACGTCTTGCATTCTCTTTGTATATCGCACACATTTTTTATCCTCAGAGACAGTCAGGGTGTGCCGTTTCAGGGTCTAGAATGATATCTACTCTAAATGTCTTTGTAATTTTCTGCAAAGCAGAATACTGGAAAGGAAAACTGCAGCCTTCCCTCCGTAACTGGACTGAAAACATTGATGGGCTGAACCCCTCCGAGTGCTTGTAGAAACTTGTGATTTGTAACAGCAATTCCACATCCGTCAGCACCGTGCACTTTACTACCTGACTTAGCAGGCCTTTGAGTGTGGAATTGTACTTTGAAAATTCGGTTATAATAGCGCTGAGTTTCTTTTCACTCGCCTTTTCTTCATCAGCTAATCTTGAAAGAACTGCTTCTTGATCACGTTCTAAAAACTGCCTCAGGTCCTCAAATTCAGAGAGTAATTCCAGCCTTTGGGTTTCCACCTTCTCTCTCAGTTCTAAGGGTTTTTTGCTTTGAATGCTTATTGATTTCTGAGCGTCTGCCACCTGCTCCTTCAGGGGCTCAATGTAACTGCTGAGCCTTTGCCTGTGATGAGAGGCAGCCTCTTCCATGGGCCTCACCTGGTGGCCCTGGTGGTCAGGGGGCTGAGTGCACAGGGGGCACAACAGCTCTCGGTCCTCCTCACAGAAGAGGGTCAGGGCCTTGTGCTTCTCACACAAGCGCTTCTCTTCCTGCTGCTTCATCTTGGCCCCTGGTGATCTGGAGGAGCTTGGCCATGTCAACCATCCTTCCCAGCTGGGTGTTGCTCCACAGGTGCCTCTCTTTGCATGGGTGACGGCACACAGGGCAAGGGAACCTGTCCTGCACATCAGCCCAGGACTGCTGGATGCAGGAGGGACAAGTTGTGCCCACATTTGATGGTGACAGGGTCTCGCAGGCCATCCAGGCAGATGGGACAGTTGATTTCTGCTGGGAGTCCTGCCAGAGCTGTGCCAACTGCCATTGGGCCCTGAAAGAAGGACGGGACTGAGGTGGGTTTCTTCAGGAAGCTGTGCTCTGGGAGATCTCTCCACCAAGAAGCAGATGCACCCTCAGATCTCACTGGCCTTGCTGTCCTGAATGACTCATTCCTATGAGACCAGTGGCCGCTCGTGTCTAGAGGAGCTCCGTTCACCACCTCCAGCTGATTGCAGACGTTGAGACCAAGTTCAGAAATTCTTGGTCAGAAAGCAGACATGGTTCTAAAGTGCCTGTGCATTCCTGGAGATGAGAAAAGATTGTTGCATGTAAAAAAGGCTACCATTGTGGCCCTGCTCACTGCCACATTTGAAGCAACCACTGATTTGTGTCTCTGTCAGCACAACCCACCTAAACCAAGTCACCCACAATGGTGCTGCATGGGACTGTGGCAAGTGTATGATTTGGGACTAGATCACCTATCCTGGGTCAGTTTCCATCCTTAGGGACCTACCATCTGGGAAACCTGGGGATAGCTACTAACATTCTTATCTCTAAGAGAGTGTGGCAAAGAAGAATAAAATTCCCAACTTCAATCATTTTAATCTTGAGAAAAACCTAAGAAAAGGAGCTGACACTGTTTGGCTTAAACAGTTTATTTTTTATAGTGCTGAATTCATAATATATCATGTTTACATGTTTTTCCTTTAGCTTCTCAGCTGCAGGATACATCCAGCTCTGTACAGAAAAGTAGATGGGATTTCGACGAGGTTAGATTTCCTTGAGGCCCCTCCAACTCAAAAAACTGATTTTCATGTCATGCTCAGAATGAATAAAATTGGAGATCAAGGTTTCAATATAAAATGAAACAAACACACAAACAATTGTTCTTTGAAGTCATTGTCACTGTTGACCCACCCACTAGTGGTAATGATTTGTGGGGACAAGGTCCTAAGGAGGAGAAATACAGGTGTTAGACGTCAGCATGGTGCTAACATTTGGGGAGGAGGGCCAGGCTAGTGATTGGGAAGAACATGAGAAAAGCTTTTAGGTGCTAGTAATTATCTATTTCTTTCTTTTTCCTTTCCTTTCTTTTTTTTTATTACAGCTCAAAAGATTTTTCTTTTTACTTTCAAAAGTAGTACGCAAAAAGAAAAGTAGGAAAAATATTTACTTACAAATTCTGATTACAAAGCATTATTTTAATATTTCTATTCCT